TCTTATCAGGTGAACTGATGCTCCAGAATAATATGCAGAACAGGACCCAAAATCAACATGTCTTGCCCTATCTTTTATAGTCTTGTCAATTTATTTGGTCCTCTGGGCTTTTGCTGTGTTATCATTGTGTTCCTCCTTGAATGTTGATTAATGTTGTTCTCTTGGTGTTCTGGGGCAGATTCTTCTTGTTTTGTTTTTTTATCTGTCTGCATTCTTCAGCCAGTTGCTAACTGGTGTTTTCCTTTTCATAAACACACTTTCACCCATTCCCTCACACATGCAGTATACAAAGGACTAAAAGGGCGAGCACTTATAGATTCATAGATTCATAGATGTTAGGGTCGGAAGGGACCTCAATAGATCATCTAGTCCGACCCCTTGCATAGGCAGGAAAGTGCTGGGAGTGCTGGGTCTAGATGACCCCAGCTAGATGCATATCCAACCTCCTCTTATGTCAAGCTACAGAGCAATACAAAATGGAGTTTCTTAAGGCAGTGCAAAACTCAAGAAAATACACACAAAAAAAGCATCAAGATAATACACAAGATTAAGGCAATAGGCAAAAGTCTATCTCCATGTTATTTACTTACCCTAAAGCTGGTATTTATGCCATTTGCATAACACATGGACTGTATGAGTATATAACTCCCACAGTGCTGGCAGGTTGCTGGAATGACTGTTGTTCCTTCTTTCTTATTGATTTTCTTTCTACCAGAAAGACTTCCCTACAAGAGTGTGAGCAGAGCAAGCACAGACTTTCCTCTACCCAAGAAAGCTCAAAGCTTCTTTTCTTGCTCCTTGGTGCTGTCCTCCTGGGTGCCAACAAGATTATGACTTGCATTCTGGTCCTTTTCTGTAGCAGAGTCTAAGGATGGGCAAAAGGACCACACCCAAAGAGAGGGCAACAGACTGAATTGCTACCCTCTGCTACCCCTGCTTACAGAGGCAGACACTTTGGAGTTGGGAAAGAAAAATTGGGGAGAGTGGGAGGTGAGAATCTGAGAACCATGCCAGGAAGCAGGATAGTGCAGAAGTGTTCCCAGTGAGATTGCAGGACTGAGCTCAGCCTTGTGGGACTTTCAGAACAGTTTTTTTATTGGCTTCTAAAGGAGGGATTGATTGAAAGGGACAGCTCAGATGCTAGGTCAAGGGAGCTGCAGAGGGCAGGGTTATCCCACTGGAGTAATTTGGAAATAACTGTATAGCCTGTAATTCCTAGAATATTTACCCCATCCATTACTGACCACTCCAGTTATGATGTCTGTCATTTACTGGTAAAGTGGAAGTGTTCAGTAGGACTGCAGAACTAGGGAGCAGATCTGTATCCCTGGTCTGCCCTGTAGTATGCACTCCAAATGCTGATAAGGGATGGATGACATGACATATAGTGTGAACAGATGTTGGAGTCACTCTTACAAGGGTTCAGAGAGACATGTGGGACTGACAGCCCTTGTGGGATGGGAGACAATATGTGTGCCCTGGGAGACTGCTTCACATGGGACACTAACTTCCTGCCAGTTCTGCGTCTTCCTGGTGGGCAGCCACTCTATATCAGCATGTGAAGAGT